AAGAGTTTACATTTATTTTTACATTAAAATTCATTTATTTATCACAATTATAAAAACGTAATATCGCGTTACTTTATTCGCCAGTTTATAAAGTGGAATAATTAAAAGACTCCAAAAATAAATATAATACTAAGCCAGTAAGTTTCACAGTAATACCTGCTCAAAAATATGTCTCCAAATGAGAGGATCCGTTTGGATAAAGAGAAAGCAAGTGTTCTTCTTTTTACTGTCTTCCTTAGGTCTGGTTGCGCGTCGGGTTCTGATCCAATGGTCCGAGGGTATATTCGCCTCTTTGCTATATTTGTGACCAGGTGTTTCTGTTTCAGGACTCCAGTTTTTCAGATTTTTTGGCGCCACTGGTGGTATCGGTGTTTCGAGCTCTCCGGAATTTTGAATGCGTTCCATCCATTCAACTACTTCCTCGGTAATGCCACAACCACTCGATTCACCTGCAAATATTCAAATGTACGAAATATATTTATGATTAATATATAATGACATAATGTCAAGAATAACATACTATTAATATTTTTGTGATTATTTGATTATGATAAATAAACTTACATTATTTTACTTATATTTATGAAATTTTACATTTTATAGAAATATTATTAAATTATAAAAAGTATATGAAAATTTAATTGTATTAAGGAAATTTTAATAATATCTTTAAATCAAAGCCTAAAATCAAACACAATCTTATGTAAGAATAGCAATATTAGGAAAAAACGGAAATACAATGGTTTATATAAGCGCACAATATTTAATCAAATTTTATTTTATAAATTATCAATATGTAAAATTCAAATGATGAAAAGAGATATTTTATAATATGTTTAACAGTAGTATTTGATTGAACACACAAACAAAACTTCTCAATTTTATTTTCGCATATACATGTATCAACGCCTATATTAACACTTTTAACTATATAATTGTCATTTCAACAAGAAAATCTAATCATTAGTATAAATATTTTTAATTAATTAATTATCTTAAATCAAATTCAATATTAATCAATATGGATTAAAGACAATTTTTTATTTTTACACTATCGTTAAATATATAATACTTTTGTTTGTTACTTTGAATTACTATTTTAAAAGATAAATTAGTTAATAAAGCATATTAACACACAACTTTATGATTTGAATAATTATTTTTACAATTAATAAATTTTTACAATCTGTTTTTTATTTTAAGAATAAAATTAAATAAAATTTAAAAAATTAAATTAAATTAATTAAATTAATAAATTAAGAATAAGATTAAACGCGTATATTAATACAATTTTTACAGAACTGTATCGAAGTGATTTTGTAATTTTAGATTAAAAATCGAAGCAAAGTAATCCGAAGCAAAGTAAACAAAGTAACAGTTGAAATATTGAACTTTTTTAATAATTGATTTTTATAAAATATACTGACAATCGAAAAATAGACTTTGTCTTTGGTTAAACAATAAATTTATTTCATAAGGAATGAAATCAACTGTCTTTATTTGGCTACCTTTACTAGTTCTTCACCGACGATTCTATTGCGAAAAATCTACGTCATAAAGTTGAAAATAAAGTGCTAGATTTTACCGACGAATGAAAGGGAGAATAAAAAGATAAAAAGAAGAAAGGAATTATGTAGACGATCGTGAGCAAATTCCTTTCAGCCAGCACTGCCTTACTGCCCCCTTCCCCCGCCCGACCCGCTTTGGCATCGTCCATATAGATATTTTCCTCGTAAAATCAACGGAGCGTTCTTCACTTCTTACTGGACATTGTATCACATAGACGTAGTATAATTTTAATCGCCGCCTGTATTGCCAATTCACTTAGAAGGATGTCGAAGACTACTAGAAAATTTATACGTTCATAGGAAGTGTTGATTGTAATAAACTACGATATCGGAAATAGATGAAAATGTGACAATTTCGAAAGTCGCAGAACTTATTACGAAATAAGTGCTCGACAAAAGCGTTGTGGATAAGAGAGACGGGATGCCTCGAAAATACCTTTTTTTTATTGTTCAATCCCTGCGGTCAGCTTCTCTTGTCGACTATTCTATGAATATTGCTTGGTGAACTCGTTCACTAGTTCGTACATTATTTTTATCGCCAAACTACTCTCACGTTTTCCCATAAGATACTACTAGAATATATTTGCATTTATCTTGCGCATGGATCCATAATGTACGTTGGATGTAAGTGTAAAACTATAAGCGACTATGTTCATATCATAAAATTAAAATATTTTTAAATAATACTCAAAGATTCGCAACACAAATATTTCAAATGACTATTGTTCATATAAGATTTAATATCTAAAATCTACAGTGATTAATACAATTGTTTATTTGAAATAAAATAAATTCAACTTCGAGTTATCTGCTGAGGTACTTTGCATTTTGTTCATATATCACTGAACGGACTGTTTATTATCTTTTTTATTTGTTTATTCATTAAAATGTGATAATTTGGAACAATCTAATCGTTCTTTTTAAATTTTCATCAAAAGTGAACATTTATTCCTTGATTATAAAAAATTAAAGCCAAAATTCATATTGCACAAATGTAGTGGGAAGTTTAATCTTTGAATTATTAAATATTTTATTATAATCGAATATCTTTTTAATATGAAATTAGTCAAAAAAATAGACATACTAATAAATATTTAAATTTTAATTAAATAATAAAGTCACACTTTATGAATTTATTAATGTTCATTTCGTTTACAAAATAGACTCCTTTAACTTGACAGCGACAAACATTTTAAAGAAAATTTTTTAATTTATTAAATCATATCTATTCTAGGAAGTTGTTTAGCTATTATCAACTTCGATTTTCTCGTATGTCAGTTATTTTTTCTATTCTTTAAATATATCCTAGAGTTATACGATCTATTAAAATTGATATACAATTTGATAACATAAGATTAAGAATAGCATAGTGAATTTTTATTATTTATGATCATAAGAAAGTCTTTTAAAAAAGTAAATATGAAATTAGGATTTCTGATATGTATAATAATTTTTAACAATATACATAAATTTGTGAATAAAAATGATTAATAAAATACAGTTGTGTTAACAGATATGGCATAATAACAATAGTACAATTAATATAATAAATAAAAAAAAGGAAAATGTCTAAAAGAAACAAGAATATACAAGAGCAAAGTTGTAACTCATAATAATAATAAAGTACCTAATTCATATTAAAAAATCCAATTTGCTATTAATATAAATTTTCATAAAAATTCAATAATCTAGCCAGAACATATTTTATAGTTGCTAACACTTATAAAAATTAATCAAAAAATATAGACTTGTCAAGAATACACGCAAGTGAAGAACGGATCTGTCTAACTTGCGCCATAAAAAATAGCATCAAAATTTAAACGAGAAATTCGGAACTACGGCTCAGAATAGGAAATGCACAGCACTAGAGATAATAACACATTGTCACGTAAGCTTAGTCATTGTAGACGCATACTAGTAACAGACGTTGTCGGCGTCGACATTTTCGTCCTTGAGAGTATAAGAGGTGGCTGTGTAATTCAAATTTCTAAGTACTGAATAGCACTCAATGTTTGGCTTTGCAGGTTACAGAAAGAGGCAATTCATATACGGTTTGAGTTTAGCCTGGACATTGTAAAGAAGACAAGAAGAAAAGTTTAACGCGTTGCTTAAACTTGGCGTTGTTTAAATCTTCACAGGCTGACTTTGGGCGAGCACATAATTTTGCTTTTTCTTCATCCCTATCCTATCTCTTCAACTACTACTCTTATTCCCTAATTTTTTTTTGCACTCCTGCCCATTACTTCCTTTATACTTGTGTACCTTCATCACATTACGTAAAATACGAATATAATTTTTACGTAACATTAAAAAAAAAAATATATATATATGGTTGCGTAAAATCTTTTGATAACTATATTTATTATTTTATTTTAGAATTATTCATATTATTTATTATGTATGACAGTTTATAAATTTTAATAAATACTTTAAACAAAAAAAAAAAAGAATTACTAGATGCAACTAAAATATGCAATAATATATGAAATCTTTTTATCTCATTTTATAATAAATAGGAAAGTATTTTATTAATCTGTTGTTCAACGGTTATAGTTCTGTACAAAATTTAATAATTTTATGTCTTAGCCACATAATTTAATATGTATAAAATAATATGACATAATTACTATAGTATATTCAAGAAATTGTATAATATTAAGTTCATTATTTAATACATGTGAATATATAACAAACTACTACTATTATTATTATTCTCTAAATAAACTTTAACTCTTAAAATTAATATAATCCAATATCAATACCATAAATAAATCTTAATATACAGAACAAAATTATAATAAATTCATAAAATATGTTTCAAGATTTTTTTTCTTGCAAATACATTAATAAATATTTATACAATACTAACTCAAATAATATTACCGTTTCACTTAATTAATTTATCTGTATTTATTTATACTACAGTATCTCGCTAATTTGAAATTTATAGCTTTTTAATTTAAACAAAATTGTTATTATAAATATTATTATTTTTGTAATGAAATCCATTTGGTATTTTTGCTGTTACAAAAATATATTCAATACTTATAACAGTAGCAATTTTATATATATATACATTCTTTTTAGATTTGACATTATTTGATGATTGAATATGGATAATAAAAGAATCGTAAATTTACAAATGGATATTCACATTTTTAAATTATAAAGAAATATTAAAGTTTTTATTTCACCGTAGATTCGTATATTATATTAACATAAAAAAATTAAATGAAATATATTAGATTACCATTAAATGTACTATTTAATGTACTGCAAAGTACTATTAAATTAATAAATATGCCAAAGATCTTACTCTTCAAAATGTAATTATTCATTTCACTTTTTCAAAAATTGTTTAAAAAAATTTTTATTTATGAGAAATGTAATTTACCCGAATATACGAAATTATATAAATATATATTTTTATATTTAAAATAAATATTCTTATTTAATTATCACTATTACTGTTGATTTATATATTTGATTTAGTATGTTTTTCTTTTTAAATACGTTAGTACTCATCATAAACGGTAAAAGTTTCCAAAATTTTTAGATTAACTTCAATTATTCCAAAGTTATTTAATAATCAACGTATATAAATAGAAAAGCAAATTTTTTCGGTATTTAATAGTTTTATAAATCTTAGTTTGGCAACATCAAGAAAAATTTTGTGATTTAGAAATCAATGTTGAAACTGTAATGTTAAAAAAATATTTAAAAAATTTATGTATAATTTTAATTAACATATACTCTTTTCCTCTATTAATAAAACAATTCACTGTTTAAAAAATAAAAATAAACTCTTAAGAGTAGCGCGATCATGTTAAGTCTTAAAGGTACTTTATTTTAATTCAAAAAAACTTCTGTATTTCAAGAAT